GTCTGTAAAGGGTGTGTAGCAAGCATTAGGCTACTTGGGATCAGGTACGTCATGGTGTGTCGTTGAGATCCTAGAAAGTAAAGGTGTTTGAGAAAATTTCAGTCTTAGAAGTCACCTTTGAGTCTGTTTTAGCTGACTGAGGAAGAAAATCATATTAATTATATAGGCAGCAACAGTTTGTCTGTAAAAGGAAACTAGTTGTTAATTACGAGTTTGAAGGTGGTGATCAGCATGTTGATTTAACCTGTGGAAGTAGATTTAGATGACTTTCAAACCTTGAAGAAATTTTAAAAGTTGGAAAAAAATGTTGAGAATATATCATGAGTGAAAAGGAGATATTTAAACGAAAGGCAAAAATGTTTGGGTTGAAAAGCACAAACACTGTTGTTTTAGGCATTCCTGTTAGGGGAAAAGGCATTAGTGGTGGATTTAGAAGTAGTGGAGGAAAGGCTTGTTCTGTCATGTGGTGGTTTGGGCTACCACGTGGTGGCTGGGTGTTCTAGCAGAGAGGCCAAGGAATTCCCCCTGTTGTTTTTCTTAGAGAAAAGAAAGGCTAACTTTGAAGAAAAGTTTAAAGCGAAAAACATAGAAGTTTGATAACAGAGTCAGAAGGAGTGAAAGGCTGTGTGAGACTGAGCTATGATCGGGAGTGGGGGAATTTTAGCACGAAAAGTTAACCCCTGGGGGAGGGGCAAACCTCTTGGCAGGCAGAGCGCGGGAGATTTTGGGGGGGGAGGGGTAAAGTATGGCGATTAAGGAGTCTCCACCATTTTGTGGGAAACACGTGGAGAGAGAAACTTAGTTTTTTGAGCCAGGCAGGAGCTAGTGGTAGTTAAGATTTAGAGAGAAAACGTTGGCCCGAAACACATGGAGAGAGAAAGAGGGAGAAAGGATAGAGAGAGACCCACCTAGTCTTAGGGACTAGGCTGGAGTTACTCACGGTTCCATGGAGAGGGTCTTGGCGGGCACCAGCGGGGGGGGGGGTACTCTTGGAGCTGGCTTTGTCTGGATCCTCTACCACCTGTAGGGAACGATGTAGGCCCATGTGTGGGCATGCGCGGGCATGAATCTCTGTTGCGCTGTGGGTCTGTGTGTCTGCCATGACGTAGTAGGCTGGGATAGCTCAGCATGGCAGGAACAAATGGGACCTTGGCTGAGTTTATTCCCTGCAACACCAGGCAAGCACGGTGGGGCCTCGCCCAGCATGGGGAATTTTCACTCAGGATCCATGGGGGTGTAGAGCTCTTGGACTGGGGATCTCTGGGCCAGAAGTTGGCCGGAGATGGACTGGTCTCGAGTCTTTGGTTCTCAGGACCGAGACGGGCATTTGGGCTTGTGTCGGACAACCCACTGCTGAGAAAATGAAAGGGATTGGGGATCCCTGTGCTCTGAGGCAGCCAGGGGCCGATTGGTCTCAAGCCCTTGGCTCGTAGGACTGAGACGGGGGCATGTGGGCTCATGTAGGGCAACCCACAGCGGAGAAAAGGAGAGGGATAGGGGAAGAAGAAAGAGGCCCTAGCAGCACCCATGGGAGAGACTGTACTTGCTTAGCAGACTCGGCGGCCTGGCCAGCTTGCTTGGAGTTGTGGGTCCTCATGGCTGGAACACAGAGATCCTCCAAGTGAGAGATTAAGCAGCTGTAGCTTTAGTCAGCATGGGAGAAGCGCGGAATCTTCACTGAGTCGATTCGTCACAGCACTGGACAAGCAGGGTGGGAAGCTCGGCTGCATTCTGTAGCAGACTGGGGTGGCCCGGTTCTTGAAGTCCGTGGGTGTCTGTGCCCCACGTTGGGTGCCAAAATGTGGGGAAATTTTTAGAGGCCGCCTCTGCGGTGTGGCCCCGGAGGGGCTTCCACCACTGGGGCGAGTCCCACATTCAGGAGGAATCCTATGGTTCCAGCAGCCTGGAGGCCTTGGCGATGACAGGCCCCAATAACACGAGGAAGTCCTTGGTTCCAAAAAGGTTTATTGTCATGGCAGATGGTAGATGGATCTAGGCGTACCCCCCAGAACTCAGGGCAGTCCTGAGTTATATAGGGAGGGAGAAAGGGGGAGGATTGGGGGAGGATCTGGGGGAGGCATGTTTAATTTGCTCTGCCCTCTGGCCTTCACTAGTATGTAAATCCCTAGGGCCTGAGGCCTATAGCCTGGCCTATGTAATTCTATGGAGACCGTGACTGTTTTTCAGGATCCTGGGTTCTGGGGGGCACCAAACTCCTGCCGGTTCTCATGCAGAACCCTACCCAGAATTTGCAGAGTCTCGGGGTTCTAGGCACCTGCTCCACCATGACCCAGGATACCCTTACGCAGTCCCACAAAAGCCTTCCACCCTAAATGATACAATCATAACACATCAAATAACCAAAACTATTCATCCTACCTTAAGGGATCAGGATAACGATGTCAGTGTCCTTGTAATTTCTTCATGCTGAATTGGGCAAAGAATTCCTGTTTGAGGTCCAAGAGGAAAAATAGTTAATAATAAAAAAAAAAAACTAGCTGAAATAGGCCCAGAAAAATAAATATGTATTCACTTACATGTGGATATTGGCCATAAATAAGTGAAAGCCAAGCCAAAATTTATAGAGTTGGAATGTGGAGGTAGAGGAAAGTAGTAGGAAAAGCACATGGATCTCCCTAGGAGGAGAAAATAAAATAGATTTATGAGTGGTCTGGGGTCATGGGGCAGGGCTGGGAACAAAATAAGATGATCAGATAGGGAGAGGTGTGGGTCAGTGGACCATGAGAGGAATCCTGGTAAGGTCGAGCTAGGACTTGAAGCCCTGGAGACCCAGAAGAGACTCCAGGCCCTGTTCAGGTTGCTCTCTGAAAACTGACAGCTGGGCCTGTCACTGAGAACAATACCCACACCATTAATGGAGAAGACAAATTGTTGCCTACATGAAATCTTCACCTCCTACATCCTAGTGTCTTTGGTGAAAGAAGGCTATCAAAAGAGACATGTAAACACCAACCTAGCTGCAAAACCTCTTCCCTACAATCTGTCCTGCCTACAACATATGCTAGGGCAACAGTGGTACAGAACTTGTAGAAATAGTCTACCAATGTCTGATTTGACTTAAGGCCCATTCCATGAGAAGAAACCCATGCCCAACACTGTCTGGTCAAACAAGAAAAAGAGACTAGATAGTCTAGAGACCATGACCTAAAAAAAAAAAAAGCATCAATAAAATAATGACATTCTGCTACATTCATAGATCAGTGTATCATTCAATCATCCTCAAAGAAGCTTCCTCCTGAAATAGAATAGATACCACAATGCAGAGGCACACAGCTAGACATTATTCAGAGAGAGAGAGTCAGTCAGTCCTTGGAGCACATTGCTCTAAATGGAATGCCTCCATCAAATCTGTCCCCCTCAGAGTTCAAAGAACCCTGTGCAAGAGGTGGAAGAAAGAATGTAAGGGTCAGAAGGGATTGAAAACACCAAGGGAACAAATAGAGCAAAGGTCATATGAGCTTGCAGAGACTGAAGCAGCCAGTGAAGGGCCTACATGGATCTGCACTATATACATTATAGCTTTCAGCTCAGTATTTATTTATTTAACTGTTTATTGATTCTCTGTGAATTGCACATTATGCATCCTAATCCCACTCACCTTCCCATCCCTTTGTGTACGCCCTCGGACCTTGCAACATCACCCTCAAAAGAAAATAAAAACAAAAACAAAAATAAAATAAAACAAAGTATCCCTTTGTGGAATCTGTAGTGTGTTACAGTGTGTCATACAATATTACACTTTTGTCCACTCATCTTTACTTGCAAAATGTTCATTGCAATGAGTCATTAGTCTGGACGGAGGCTTCTGGCTTCTGCTACATTATCAATACTGGATCCTCACTGAGACTCTTCTTGGATATTCTGTTGCTGCCCTGTGTCATGGAGATCCTTCAACTTTGGATCTTCAGGACCAGTAACTTCATGTTCTCCAGCAATTTATACATGGGGTAGATGTTGGGATGAACCAGCTCAAAGCCCTGGATCATGGACTGGGTAGTAGCTGAGTTGGTTAGCCCACCAGCTTTCCCACATCCACACCACCAGGGTGAGCTCTTCAGCACTGCCCTGGCTAGCTCATCCGATATGGTAGCTAGCAAGGGGCAGGGCTGCCTCTCCCTGTGCCATGCCCTAAAGACTGGCTCTCACCCATGCCTTTGCCACTAGGGCCAGAGCTACTGTGCTGCCCAGGAGAGGCATGGGGCCTAATCTCCTGAGTGCTGCAGCAGGCAAGGAGCAGGGACAACTTTCCTGCACTCATGACTCCAGGGCCAACTCTCCCCCCACCACTGTGGAGGATATGGGCATCTCTCCTCACCCACTCCACTCCATGGCAGATGAGTGGCAAAGACAGCTCTCCAACCCTCATGCCCTCAGGGCTGGCTCACTAGCACCTCTACCACCAGGGTCAGCTCTACTATGCTACTAGTTAAGATTCAGGGCCCACTCTCTTGAGCGCTGCAGCCAGTGAGAGGCAGAGCCATCGGTTCAGAATTATTATGGTACTCTTAAATGTGTGAATCAGTGGGTATCTGATTCTTGCGCAAGTGGTTGGACTCTTTGTCTTCTGTTGGATTGCCTGGTCCAGTCTTGACTTGGTGGGTTTTGTTTTATATTTTATTTTATCATATATGGTTGTTATCTCTTAGAAGCCTGATCTTTCTGAAAGGGTCTGAAAATAGCTGAAGGAAGGCCCCAGACTCAGATAGTATGCAAAAACATAGAGTGTTTATTCTGCAAAACCATCCAGCATGCAGGGGTCACCTATTCTCCAAACTGGCAACCTCAGATGAAGGCCTGCATGCCTTCTCATAGGGAACTGGGGGGACTCTCTAGAAGGATTAGGTAATCTAAAATTTCATTGGTGGGTGCTAGGGGCTCACAGGTGATCAGTTGTCTGCATTCCAATGTCATGAACAGTCAACCATATGATGAAACAGGGTTGCCCATCACCGATGGCTCATTCTGAGATATACTATTTTCCCAGTTTTAAGGTTATCCCCAGGCTCTTCTTTGGGAGTGGGTTTTATGATTTTGTTCTAGATTTTAAAGTCTGTTCCTGGAGCTGGTGCCTTCCTTAAATGGAGACAAATGGACTCATTTATGTTGTCCTTTCATTCCCCCACTTGAGAAAGGCTCATCTTAAATCCCTAAGATGTCTCTAGGCGGCTGATACTGTTGCTTCAGAATCATCAACTGCACCATAGAGAATTTGACTAGAGCACTGACCACACAAGATCCACAAGTGAGAACAATTAGCAAGAGCAGAATTGACTGCACTAGTGGCCATATTAGCATAGTCATCCAGGAGGACCAGGAAAGTAATGACTCATACCAGATTTGATTCTGTTACCTGGGTTTATCCCTTTCCTCTAGTCTCTGGGAGACCATGCATGGCCAGGCTGTTTCTGATAATGCCTCAGTTGGTGTAGAAATAGAATTGCTCTCCCAGGGCTTGGCAGACCTTCCCTATTGTAGGAAGAGTAAGTCTAATCCCATTCTATTTTGTAATACTGCTTCAGCTCATGAGTCTAGCAACTGTTCTAAGTGATGGATAGACTTTTCTAACTGAGCAAAGTCTGAGTCTGTAAGATTATTTAGGGCTTGAAGAGTCTCATCTGCTTTGACAAGAGCCGCAGTACCAGCTATGCCAGTACCTACAAGCACTGTAAGTAGGATTGCTAAGGCCCTAAAATCTCATTTTCCCTGTACTAGTCCAGAGCTGTCTCCATATAGGTACTGAAGGGGAAATAGTAGACTTGAGGAAATACGGTAGCCAGAACACATAAGCTAGAATTTCAAAGAATCTGGATGGATGCAAGAGGTTAAGCCTGAGGCACAGGCAAACCAAGTTCATTAGGAGCACAAGGTAGGAGTTTCTGGCTTGTATGGTAAAGGTGTTATTGCAAAGATGCTTAAGGTGAGGGGAGTTATTTAGTCTTTCCTCTTTCCCTATTACACATAGTCCCTTTCCAGTTATTTATTGAAGGGTGAGGACTGTAACCCTTCCCCAGGAACAGCTTGGCAGACTTTCTAGGGGTGTTGATGAATTTTCTGTGGTACCACAACCAGTATAGTATAGTATAGTATAGTATAGTATAGTATAGTATAGTATAGTATAGGGGTCTGGGATTCAAACAGCCAACAATCTTCTCTATTGAGATTAGTGGTGGAGTTAATAAAATTGAAGGTGAAGTTAAGTAGTTTAAATAGGATGGTTGGGTCAAAGGCCCTAGGGAGGGGTGTGATGATAGGGGCAGGACCATGTTTATAAGGAAGGATGGATCTGGAACTAAGGCTGGTATGGTTTTTAAGACAGGTATTGGCAATACCAGGGCTGCAGGTCTCATGGCTATAGGAGGGGATCCAGGCTGAACTGTTTTTGAATCTGAAAGAGGAGTCTCCTATTGTGTCCATGATATACCATTAAGCCCCAAACCTTTCCAACCTCCCATCCTCTGCTCTTTCCCCCTTCCTCTGTTATTGAATTGGAGATAGGGTTTTTTTCCCCATGTTGAACTCACCAATCCCTCAGGTGTCAGGCCTGCTGTCCTGCTTATCTGGATAAGATCCAAATTTTTATGCACCCATGGAGCATTGGTCTTGCAGCCCCATTTTGTGCAAAAGAATTTCTTAGTACCACCACAAGTCCCATAGTCATTTGTCCCTGGGCATACATAGAGTTGGATGTTTGCAAGTTGCTGTTTTGGGCAATGCTTCACACAGGTTGGCCTAGCACTTTGTGGTTCCTAATATGAGGAACAGTACCTCTTCCTGGATCCTTCCACAAGTATCTGACCAGGCACAAAGGTCTAGGTAAAAAGGGGGAGTGGTAATCACTAGATCAGTAAATGTCAAAGTCTGTACCTCTCTCTTTAAATATTGTGAGGTTCCTTCAGGGCCTTGAAGTATCCATTTGGTGGTGAGAGCTTGGTGGTTATCTGTGTCCACTGAAGTCTGATTTCTAAGCAAACCAAGTATGAGTAACTGGTAGATGAAACCCTTTGGAGACCTATGAAGGCCCAACATCATCTAGGGTACAGCAAGTAGTGCGTGAAGCAAGAGTTTTTCAGATCCTTAGCTTGATTGGATTTCATGAGAGGATGACAGATTTCCACAGTCCAGCGTTAGCTTCAGGCACGCAGTCATCTGGAAGCCATTCTCTGCAAAGCTTCAACTGCTGAGTTGTCCCTCGATCGGCAGGCTTGATGTGAGAGCTGTGGATCCAAGCCTTTATCCCATTGACTTTTATGGCTATGAGTGTTGTCAGAATCACTATGTGTGGGCCCTTGCAATGAGGCTCAAGGGTCATTGGATTAAGAAGTCGTTATGCCTCTTAATCCATATCTCATCACCTGGTTCAAAGCAATGGGGATTAGGAAGGAAGGGGTACAGACTCATAGACTTGGTAGATGCTTAGCCATTTTGCTTTTGTATCCTGTTGAAGAGCCTGCACAGCCTTCAGGAACTTCTGGTGGTCATATTCTGCAAGAATTTCAGACTGAAGGTTAGGAGGGAGAGTAGGAGATCTCCCATACAGGATCTCAAAAGGAATCAAATCCAAAATATAAGGGATGTTCCTGCCTTATGTAAGGCATAGGGGAGGAGGGCTACCCGGTCATTGCCAGTTTCTAGAATTAATTTGGTTAAGATTTCCTTTAGGGTCCAATTCATCCTTTCTACTTGTCCTGAACTCTGGGGATGATAAGCACAATGTAGTTTCCAATCTGTCCTCAATATCTTAACAAGTGACTGTGTTACCTGAGAGATGAAGGTTGGTCCATTGTGAGACCCCAGTAGTGAGGGCAGTCCATACATGGGGATGATGTTCTTGAGCAGCTTCTTGGCTACTATGGTGGCATTCTCTCTTTGGTGGGGTTGCGGGGAGCTCTGGGAGGACTAAATCTATCATGGGTTTGGCTGTGAAATCTCTTTTGTAGTCTTATTGACTAGCCTGTTTCCTTTTTTCCTCTCATCTACATCCTTTAGATGTCCTTGGCAGTAAAGAT